GTATTGGTGGATGAGGTGGTGAACTGTGGCAGAAACTTTAAGTTTCCTGAAAGCCCATTTCCTCCTAGAAGGGAATTATACATTGGAATGTGCTTGCTGTGAATGGAAACAGAGCATCTTGGGTGAATAAAGTATTAGTTTCAGACTAAAATAGTGAATTTATGTATTCTGCAGAAGAGAACTCTTTCCCCTGGCTGTGTTGATTACTGCTTTTATGACTTTCACATGCTTCCTTTCTTAAGCTCTCATTAACTAGTGTATTTTTTCTGACTTATCCTAAAATTATAAGTGTTAAAGCTATTGTATTAGTCATGATTCTCTAGAGAAACAGAATAGATGGGGGTTTATTAGAATGGCTTACAGGCTGTCGTCTAGCTAGCCCAACAATGGCTGTGACCAGATGGAAAAGCAAAGAATCTTGTCCACAAGGTTAGTCTTCAATCCTGAAGATGAAGTTTTTAATGCCAGTGAAGGGGTGCTTCAGCAGTGGGCTAGATGAGCTTGCCCTCAGGAGTGCAGGCAAGCAGGTAAAGAGCCAAAGCGTCTGTCCTCCATGGCGTGGCGGTAGGCAGGAAGGCATGGCGTAGTACTGGAGTGGTAGTTGATACCTTTATATCCTTTTATGTGGACTGTCACCAAAGATGTAGCCCAGATTTTAGGATGGGTCTTCTGATCTCAAGTGATGCAGATTTGGAGTGGGTCTTCCCACCTCAAATGATCCAGCCAAGAAAATCCCTTACAGGCGTGCCCAGCTGCTTGGGTTTTAGTTGATTCCAGGTATAGTCAAGTTGACAACTAGGATTAGCCAAGCTACTAACAACTTTATCTTGGTTGGAAAATCTTTGAGGTATACTAATCAAGCCAGTTCATATTAAGCTGGGAGTGGAGGTACACACTTGTACCCTAGCATTTAGGACTGAAAAGGAGGACAGTTAGTTTGAGACCAGCCTGGATTACATTAAAAACCTGTCTCAAAAATAAAGTTTTTACTTTTATGACAGATGAATATTTCATTAAATAGTAAGGTTTTGCATACTAATAAAAGACTATGCAAGTAGAACTGGGCAAACAGTTTACAGGAAGTACAAATGTTGAATAAATATGGAAGAAATTTTCAGATTTATCAGGAAGCAGAAGAATTGAAATGTAGCACTGTCCATCAGAAACAGGAACACAGTGACACATGCCTTAGGTCGTTCTTGGTGTATTGCTTTAATTACCCTCACAGTGATTCTTTAAGGGCATACTGTGTTTATCACATTTATAGGTGAATAAATTGAGATACAGAAGGCATTAGTGTAAGGCAGTGGTTCTCAACAGCTCTGATACTGCACCTTTTAGTGCAGTTCCTCATGCTGTGGTGACCCCCAATCATAAAATTATTTTGTTACTACTTCACAGCTGTAGTTTTGCCACTGTAATGAATTATATTGTAAATATCTCATATGTAGCTATCTGATATGCAACCCCTATTCAACTGCCCAAGAGGTCGCAACCCACAGGTTGAGTACCACTGGTCTAAGGTCATGTGACAAGTAATATAACCAGGACATAGCTCTGTCTTAGTGTTGTGTGGAGACACAGTGACCAAGACAACTCTTACAAAGGAAAGAATTTAACTAGGGACTTGCTTATGGTTTCATAGGGTTAGTTTATTGTGAAGGGAGCATGGCGGCAGGCAGGAAGGCATGGCACAGTGCTGGAGTGGTAGCTGATACCTTTACATCCTGATCCACAGGCAGGTCTGCAGAGGAAAGTGGGGCACTGAGCCTGGTATGGTCATGTGAAATCTCAAATCCTACTCCCAGTGATAAACCTCCTCCAACAAGGCCACGCCTTCTAGCCTTCTAAAGAGTTCTTCACCTGGGGACTAAAAATGCAAGTATATGAGCCTGTGGGGCTGTTCTTACTCAAACCACCACAAGCTCTAGGGTCCAGTGCTCTTTTTAGACACTGAAGTTTGTTATAACTGCAAGTGCAGATGTCAGTGGGGGCATGTGTGCCATGCGCATGTGTGGAAGCCAAGCAGCAACTTTGTGGAGCTTTCTCCTTCCAGGGATCCAACTCTGCTCTCCAAACTTGCTTAGCAAGTGCCTTTAACCCACTGAGCCATCTTGCAGGCCAGCTCTTTAACTACTGCCTTTTGTTGCTTCTTTGATATCTTTATAAAGAATAGCCACTGTTGGTAAGAGTGTTTAAGAGTTAGCATTTTATACAGTATTGGTTACCGTAGTAGATGTTTACCACTCTAGTGGGTCTGTGAACCGGAGAGAGTGGGGCCTAAAGAGGAGGTGGGTCGAAGTCTCATGCGATAGCCACCTTTATTCAGAGCAGCAGAAGTTTATACTCTGAGGGCTGAGTCACATGAGTAAAGAGTACAATCACGGGAAAACATTTTTTCCACAGAACAGATGAATGACAGCAGCTGAAATAAACACTACACCTGGATTAAGCATGACAACACATGCTGGCACAACTGGATGTCAACCTGTAGAAGAATGAAAATAGACCCATATCTATCACCATGCACAAAACTCAAGTCCAAATGGATTAAAAACCTCAATATCAGTCTGAACACACTGAACCTGATAGAAGAGAAAGTGGGAAGTACCCTACAACAGATGGGCACAGGAGATCGCTTCCTAGGTATAACCCCAGCAGCACAGACATTAAGGGCAACATTGAATAAATGGGACCTACTAAAACTGAGAAGCTTCTGTAAAGCAAAGGACACTGTCACTAAGACAAAAAGGTAACCTACTGACTGGGAGAAGATCTTTACCAACCCTGCAATAGACAAAGGTCTGATCTCCAAAATATATAGAGAACTCAAGAAACTAGACTTTAAAATGCTAATTAACCCAATTAAAAAATGGGCACTGAACTGAACAGAGAATTCTCAACAGAAGAAGTTCAAATGGCTAAAAGACACTTAAGGTCATGCTCAACCTCCTTAGCAATCAGGGAAATGCAAATCAAAACAACTTTGAGATATCATCTTACACCTGTGAGAATGGCTAAAGTCAAAAACACCAACGATAACCTTTGCTGGAGAGGCTGTGGAGGAACGGGTACCCTCATCCATTGCTGGTGGGAATGCAATCTTGTGCAACCACTGTGGAAAGCAGCATGGCGGTTTCTCAGGAAATTCGTGATCAACCTACCCCTGGACCTAGCCATACCACTCTTGGGAATATACCCAAGAGATGCCCTATCATATGACAAAAGCATTTGTTCAACTATGTTCATAGCAGTATTATTTGTATTAGCCAGATCCTGGAAACAACCTAGATGTCCTTCAATGGAAGAATGGATGAAGAAAGTGTGGAATATATACACAGTAGAGTACTACGCTGCGGTAAAAAACAATGACTTCTCGAATTTTGCATGCAAATGGATGGAAATAGAAAACTCTATCCTGAGTGAGGTAACCGAGACCCAAAAAGATGAACATGGGATGTACTCACTCATAATTGGTTTCTAGCCATAAATAAGGGACACGGAGTCTACAATTAGTGAACCTAAAGAAGCTAAATAAGAAGGTGAACCCAAGGAAAAACACATAGTTATCCTCTTGCCTATGGGAAGTAGACAAAATTGCCGGGGAGAAAAGTGGGATCTTGGGGGTGTGGTGGGTTGGGGGTAAGGGGAGATGGGGAGAGAAAAGTGATAAGGGGAGAATGGGGGGAACTTGGGGAAACAGGATGATTGGGATAAAGGAAGGCTGGATAGGGGAGCACGGAAGCACAATTCTTAGTTAAGGGAGCCACCTTAGGGCTGGCAAGAGACTTGAACCTAGAGTGGCTCCCAGGAGCCCAAGGCGATGTCCCCAGTTAGTTCCTTGGGCAGATGAGGATAGGGAACCTGAAACAACCCTATCCTATAGCAATACTGACGAATATCTTGCATATCACTATAGAACCTTCATCTGGTGATGGATGGAGATAGAGACAGAGACCCACATTGGAGCACCGGACAGAAATCTCAAGGTCCCAATGAGGAGCAGAAAGAGGGAGAAGATGAGCAAGGAAGTCAGGACCACGAGGGGTGCACCCACCCACTGAGACAGTGGGGCTGATCTATTGTGAGTTCACCAAGGCCAGCTGGACTATGACTGAAAAAGCATGGGATAAAACTGGACTCTCTGAACATGGCGAACAATGAGGGCTGCTGAGAAGCCAAGGACAATGCCACGGGGTTTTGATCCTACTTAATGTATTGGCTCTGTGGGAGCCTAGCCAGTTTGGATGTTCACCTTCCTAGACATGGATGGAGGGGGGAGGACCTTGGACTTTCCACAGGGCAGGGAACCCTGACTGCTCTTTGGACTGGAGAGGGAGCAGGAGAAGAGTGGGGGGAGGGGGAGAAGGGTGATAGGAGGGGGAGAGAAATGGGAGGCTGGGAGGAGGGGGAAACTTTTTTTTTTCTCAATAAAAAAAAAAAAGAACAGTTCTGTGTTTTGATAAAATCGAGGTCACAAGACTGTGTTTTCTTGGAGTTTTCTCACAAGCACTCAGGAATTCTCACAATTCTCACATGCCTTCGTTCTTGGACCATGTTCTGACAGATTTCTGCAAGATGCTTAAGTAATATGTTTGCAAGCTTTAATTAACACCTGCATTGTCTTTGATTTCAGATTTTATCCTAAGAAAATCCTTACAATAAATAACAAAATATACGTACAGAAATTTTAGCTTCAATTTTTGAAACAACTTTGAAAAATTGTCTTACTAAGCTTTATTCTTATTAAAATAATAAAATTATGCTACTTGTTCATGTAGGAAAAAGATTGCCTTTATGTGCCTGTGTTGTAAATATGTTTACTGCTGGATACTTCAAAGCATTCTAATAAAACTGAAACATCAATATTTCTTGTTTTGTTCTAAGTGTGAAGTGTAAGTTTCAGTCAAGATATTAAATATCTTTGTATTAAGACTTGCCTAATCTCTGCTAATTCTTTTGCATGTAGCTACCCTATAAAAATGCCTTAAGAAAGAGCCATGGAGAAGTATGTTAGACTACAGAAGATTGGAGAAGGCTCATTTGGAAAAGCTGTTCTTGTTAAGTTCACGGAGGATGGCAGGCATTATGTTATCAAGGAAATTAACATTTCAAGGGTAAGTACATTTTTACTTTGTTTGCAGAAGTAGTAATTTGGTCACCCTAGGATCAAATATTAAATATTTATTATTTATCAGAGAAACACATAACCTAGTGAGGAAGAGTGCTATGATCCCATCAGGACCACTACGTCACTGGAGTCTGTGTGTCCTTTCAGATTTTTTCCTTTTCGTTCCTGTACGGTATGTAGAAACATATACTTACAGTCCTGTGACTCACTGTAGATTGGCCACGCTTAATGGGCTTCACTTACGGATTCAGTTCATTCCTTTGTAACATACTGCTATAGTTTTTAATGTTTGTTATTGTTACCGTGCTGTATTAGTAGCATTTTTAACCACTCTCTTATAGGTGGACTTTTACCTTTATTAGTGGCTTTACTATTTTCTTCCATTTAAGATGTCCGGCAAAGAACGGCAGGAATCAAGGAGAGAAGTTGCAGTGTTGGCAAACATGAAGCATCCAAATATTGTCCAATATAAAGAATCCTTTGAAGGTCAGATATATTTTGCAAACATTTAAAATAAGCTCTAAGATACTTACAACTTTTGGGTATTTTCCTTTAAGGATTTTTTTTGTGAATGTATTTTCGGTAAAAATACTTTTTGTTTTTGTTGTTTCATAAATATACATGTTAGTATTAGTTTGATTTTAGGATAGTAGTGATACCCTCATAGCTTAATATTGACTTACTGTTATTAACAATTACTTAAGAAGAAGCAGTATAGTACAAAAATTTTGAGTGGGCAAAATTAATAGCAACATTTTAACCTTAAATTTCCCTATAAGTATTTCTACTGACACTGAGAAAATGTTCTGATCTTGATTTTTGTAAAAACCATTACCTTATTTTTGATGATTTCATATATGCATATAACTTAATCATATTCCACCTGCAGCCCATTGCGTTCCTCTTCCAAGCACTCCCTTCCTACTTTCATGTCTTCTCTTTTTAATAACCCACAGACTTTAACTAGGGTTGCTTGCATGTGGACAGGTATGGGGTGCTGGCTGAAGGAGTTCCCACAATGTAGTCGTGTCAAAGACTTCCATAATGGGGTTATTTCTTGGGCAGTTTACCAGTGATGACAGCCCTGAGGAAAAATGACTCGTCCTTGCCCAGTAGCCTTTAACTACCATATATCCTCTTCTAGGAGTGGGTCCTCATGGGCCCTCCCAGTCCATCCTAGAACGTGGTGAACAGGCCCATCTGCACCTAGGAGTCATCTGAATGATTCAAATGTACTTCATTTTAAGCATTACCTGTCACCATATATGTTCAGAAGGCATAGACAGGCATGACTACAAGTTCTCGGTTCTTCTAAGTTCACCTTCATTCGAACTCCCTAGGAATTAGTGTGGTTGACAGCCAGTGTTGATTCTTAGCCTGTTTTCTGTGCCTACATGACATGTGCTGTGTTAGGGAAACAAAGTGCTTGGTTTTTCTCTCTGTCCTGGCACCACAATTCTGAAGACTTCTGTAACTCAAAAGCTGTGGGAGTCTTTCCAGTAGCAAAGAAGCAGCTGTACAGTGGATAGCAGCTAGAAGCCCACTAATCCAGTCCACATCAGACACTGTCTACTTGCGGGGAGACTGGGGACAATACTGGTCCACGCTGTCCCTATTTCAGACCCATTAGCCAGTGCAGAGCTGTGAATTTCTGCCAAATAAGCTACAATGGACTTTCCCATGACCGCCCTTCAGATCTGATCAACTTGCTCCAGCAGCTCACAGAACTCTAGGAAACACTGCACTTGAATTATAGCTAAGACATGCCATACATATATAGCACACGTATGTCTTTTATAATGAACACAAATTCACACCCAGACTGTTAGAAAACAGTAATTACAATGTCTGGGGCTTTTGGCTTCTAAACTTAGTAGTGGTAAAGGAAAGGTGCTAGAAATAGCCAAGCAGTGCGCTTGGACTGAGTTTTCTATTTCATGTCCCGTTAATGTTTCTGTTGTGCTCTTAGTTATTCTCTGTCTATGTCACTGGCTTATGTGGTTTTTGTGTTTTGTTTTGTTTCAACATCAAGCAGTTTCTAAGGTAGTAGTTTTGGGTTTTAGGGGTCCTTTAAAAGCCTGTAAGGCTATTAGTGATGAAGGGGTTTTTGTGTATCTGTAGTCCTGTTCAAATTAATCTGACAAACAGGTGGTGGTATGATGTTAGAAAGAATACAAAACAGATCATTACCCCTCTAACGAAGGAAATCCTTTTCTGTTAATGATATTTTTATGTAGGTATTGATTTAAACCTGGGCGTGGTGCCACACCTGCAATACTAGTTAGTACTAGGGAGGGAGAATCAGGAGGATTGTGAGTTTGAAGTCAGCCTGGGTAACATCTGGAGAGACCTTGACAAGCAGGCATGCAAGCAGGGGGTAGATGAGTGGGAGCACGGGGAGAGGGAGATGGGAAGGGGAGAGAGAAGGAGAGAACAAATGAAAATTTGCTCCAATAGAGAGCTGAGTAGCAGAAAATATAGCTAATTCATATACTGAATCCCCGACATTACTCAAATTTCTTTGTGTTCTGTGTAACTTCTGTAGTCTCACCTCTGTTTCCCCATCTTCCATTGCTGGAGATCAGATATGTGGCCGTTTTCATTCACATCACCATGCAGGGCCTCTGCATAGTCCTGACTGTCTGGGAACTCAACAGAGATCGGCCTGCCTCTGCTTCCTGAGTGCTGGTTTTAAAGGCATGTGCCACTGCGCCTGGCCACTTCATCTGAATTCTTACTAGAGTTTAATGAAGAGAATGAATAAGTAAATTATTTTCTCCTTATTCCCATGAGCCTTCTGCAATAGATAGTTTGTGCCCACAGTTTAACACTTTTACTTCTTTAAAGAATAAAGATTCTGAGCGCTAATACATAAGAATGTGTGTTATAGATTATTTAGATTATTAATTAACATAGATTATTATTAACATAAGTTACAGAATTACTCAAACTGTGATTTTCATCAGGAAACTTTGTTTCCTGGAACCCTTTTTTAGACATTGTGGTAGTCAGGGCGACTGTCACCGTAATAAACACCATGACCAAAGCAGCTTGGGGAGGAGAGCGCTTGTTCATCTTAACACTTCCACATCACCGCTCTTCATTAAAGGAAGTCAGGAGAGGAGCTCAATCAGGGCAGGAACCTGGGGCAGGAGCTGGTGCAGAGGCCATAGAGGGGTGGTGCTTACCAGCTTGCTCAACCTGCTTTTTTATAGAACCCAGGACTGCCTGCCCAGGGATGGCACCACTCACAAGGGGTTGGGCCCTCCCCCGTCAATCACTAATTAAGAAAATGCCTTGCAGCCTGATCTTATAGAGGCATTTTCTCAACTGAAGCTCCCTCTGTGATGGTTCTAGCCTGTGTCAAGTTGCTATAGAAGCAGCCAGTACGGTCATGGTTACATCTTCAGAGGTTGATATGACAAATAGTTGACACTTAGCAATTCTTTGTTTAATACATCAGAAGAGAAGAGAAATTATGTTTAAATAATCATTAAAGATTTTAAGTGTGTGTTTGAAAATAGACAGTCATATAAGCCAGCTTATTTAAACCAACTGAGGAAATAGCAGTTGAGTGAAGCTACACTTTTAAATATAAAGTGTCATGTATACATAAGCAGTGTGCAAATCTATAAATCAAGGCTGCTGTCCATATGATCATGTTCTGATGTACTGTGCAGTAATTCTAGTAGGGTATGCTAGTTGGCGTGTTATACTGTCAAACGCTACACAGACCAGGTCTTGGAATGACAAACACGCTTTACTTCTGTGAATGTTGAAGTCAAGGCCATCGTGATGCAAAGCAGAGAGATTGGAGGCTTTATCTAATTGCAGGTGGTGGACTATGCTTCCAAGACCCACAGATGATGTGTCCCCGCATGATACTCCAGCCTTATGTAAACAGGGAAGTAGCAGAGCAGGATGCCAGCTTACCTGGATACATGCAGAGACATGCTGAATTCAGACCAGATGCCCCTAATTGATCTCAGTTTTATAGTGCATTATATATGTCTGAGAGAGGATAGCATATGTGTCCTTCAGAGGCATGAACAAATCTCTCGTTATTACAAACCTACTCAAGCTCACATAGCTTTGGATTTCAGAAATGTCATGTGGAACTACAGTAACCATCTGGAAGGAATAGCTGAACATCATAGTAGTTGGCACTTAAAGCAGTTATAGATGTTACCTAACCTACAAAATTCCTGTGATGGAAGTTTAGAGAATTTCTTTTAAATAATAGGTAAAGGACTTTAGACTGCCATCACTCATGGGGATGTAATACAGTACATTTTAGAGGTTTTTTTTTCAAAGATTTATTTTTAAATGCAGGTGCCTGTGGAAGCCATAAGTGTTACACCCCGTGGAGATGGAGTTACTGGTGATTATAAGCCATCTCACGTAGAGGCTGGGAATGGAACTTAGGTCTTCTGTAAAAGTAGCAGCCCCAGATTTTAAGTTTTTACAGCTAAATTTCTTATTTAAAATATTTTTATGTGGTATTTTGTAAAAAGTTGTTGATTTAAAAAAAAAGTTGAAGAAATGATTATTTGTAGAATGAAAATTAGACGTTTTAAAATGTTACTGGGAACACTAGCAGACAGGACATTATTTCCGGACTTTATTTTTTCAGAGCATAACTTATTTTCCCTAACAAAAAAGCTACAGGAAGGTTTTTATGCCGTATTAGCCACAGTCTAAGTAGAACCTAGACAATAACTCGTTTGTCTTTCTAACTCTTCTCCACATTTAACCACCCTTGATGTTGCTATGAATTTCGCGATTACTGGCACTGGATTGTGTGCTTGCGTGTTTGTTTCTACCTGCCATGTTTATCACGATAACTGAACAGCACATAGTAGGTATTCAGTAAATATTTATCACTTTTAAATTTGCAGTCTTTACACAATGTGTTTACATTTTTCTTAATTGTCAGCAAAAGATGCCAAATATTAAAATGTGAAAAAATTAAAGCCAGTAACTGCTGTTACTTTTTTTTTATTGAGAAAAGGAGAAAAAAAAAACAAGTTTCCACCTCTTCCCAGCCTCCCATTTCCCTCCCCCACCTCCCACCCTTCTCCCCCTCCCCCCACTCCTTTCCCCCTCCTTCTCCAGTCCAAAGAGCAGTCAGGGTTTTCTGCCCTGTGGTAAGTCCTAGGTCCTCCCCCCTCCGTCCATATCTAGGAAGGTGAACATTCAAACTGGCTAGGCTCCCACAAAGCCAGCACATTAAGCTGGATCAAAACCCCGTGCCATTGTCCTTGGCTTCTCATCAGCCCTCATTGTTCGCCATGTTCAGAGAGTCCAGTTTTATCCCATGCTTTTTCAGTCACAGTCCAGCTGGCCTTGGTGAGCTCCCAATAGATCCGCTCCACTGTCAGTGGGTGGGTGCACCCCTCGTGGTCCCGACTTCTTTGCTCATGTTCTCCCTTCTTTTGCTCCTCATTGGGACCTTGGGAGCTCAGTCCAGTGCTCCAGTGTGGGTCTTTGTCTCTATCTCCATCCATCACCAGATGAAGGTTCTATGATGATATGCAAGATATTCGTCAGTATTGCTCTAGGATAGGGTCATTTCAGGTTCTCTATCCTCAGCTGCCCAAGGAACTAACTGGGGACCTCGGTTTGGGCACCTGTGAGCCCCTCTAGGGTCAGGTCTCTTGCCAACCCTAAAGTGGCTCCCTTAACTAAGAATTGTGGTTCCGTGCTCCCCTGTCCCTAAGCCTGCGACATAAGAGAGACATAAGTGGATCTAATCTATATGGGAAGTAGGAAAAGACAAGATCTCCTGAGTAAATTGGGAGCATGGGACCATGGAGAGGGTAGAAGGGGAAGGGAATGAAAGGGAGGGGAGGAGAAAAAAATATAGCTCAATAAAAACAATAATAACAGAAAAAGCTATTCTTGAAATTCATGAATAAGTTGAGAAGGGCATTTGATGCTGTTTTCTTTAGTGAAATTGTTTCAATACTTATTGTAACTTCTATTTAATTATTCATACAACTATATTACTTTTTGATCCTTTTAAATCATAGTTTTCTTTGAATTTCATAAGGTAAGGTATTCGACTTGTGGATCACTGTTTCTTGTGAATTCTGTTCTAAACCTCCAGTGCACTGCCTAAACTTCAAACTCCGATTATACACAGATGAATTTTTGTTTTTGTTCTGCATTCTTAAGATCAGAAACTTGGCTTCTGCAAGTTAATGCATCAGTAATTCAGTCTAAGCTTTTGGTGCTTATGCCAAATGATCTTATTTGATAAAGGTTAAATCAATAATTGCTGTGTGCTTCACACAACTTATTTCATTTGATCTCTTCAGAAAAGAGAAAATGAGGACATCACTCTTTTGTTAGAGGAAGAAACTGAATCTCAGAGTCCAATGAAAAATCGCAAGAGTATTAAGTGTGAGTTTGAGACCTTGGGTGTAGAAGTGTCCAACTTTGACCCTGAAGGGCTGCTGAGGCTCAGGGTGCCTTGGAGGCTGCTGTCTTCAGCACCTCATCTGACTTACACACTCGGTTCTTGTTTTTTGTCTGCTGTTTCCTTCTAGTTCAGATCAGGTAGTGTTTCTCAGGAGTACAGTCAGTTACTTCCCTTTCCATTGCAGTTTGCAGCCTTTTCAAGAGAACCCTGCCTCACTCATTATGGTCTTCGTCACCTAGATTGTTTGTGCAGATAGGAACTCTCAGTTTGTTAGTAGATATCAAGACCTATGAATTTGTTGACTCAGAAAGAATCACATTAGAGTCATGTATTGAAATTCTAGGAAGTATTTCTTCAAGAAAATTGGCACAAGATTCTAGAAATGTCACTATTTACAACCACGGTGTTTCTCAGCAGTTTCTTAATTTTGGTTTATTGGTATCTGCCCCAGTTTTTATAGAAATCACTTAAAACTTTTAATATATTCTAAAAATTTTGATGTTATGTAGGACAATTTTAGAATTTATTCTGATTCCCATAGAATTTGAGAGGCCTTTAATATACATTCTTATGTTAACAAAACAGTTTCAAATTATTAGCATATTCCTTCACAGTGAGAGTACTTGGTTGTTATGAGTTCTAGATACTTTAAAAATTTATTTCACATCTTGAAATTAGTATAATTAATAATGTTGGCCATATCAGTTTTGCAACTGTTTAAATACATAGATACTGGTATAATAAAAATTGGAAGTCTAAATATTAGAATTACCACCTTATTCATAGCTCAGTTGTGGTGCCATTTTGTTTGTGATTCTAAGAAATAAAGCTTGTCTGAAAATCAGAGTGAGGAGCTAGCCACTAATTAGCTATAAAGGCTAAGCACCATCTTTAATCCCAGCACTTGGGAGACAGAGGCAGATGGATCTCTGTGAGTTCGAGGCCACCGTGAGATTGATTCAGTGTAAAAGAGAAACAGAACCAGGAGGTGGTGGCTCTCCCCTTTAATCCCAGTACTTGAGAGTCAAATGCCTTTAGTGCCAGTGCTAGGGAGGTGGGGACAGGAAAGGATATGGCTGGGAGGAGAGAGGAATATAAGGCAGGAAGAAACAGGAGCTCAGCCCATTCAGTCTGAGGATTCTTGGGGACAGGATCTTGCCCACTTCAGTCAAGTCACTCTATTGGCTGGCTCCCTAATACTTCTCTGATCTTCCAGCGTTTGCCCCGATATTGACTCTGGGTTTTTATTATTAAGACCATTACACTCTGTAACAACTACCTGAAATATATACTTACTGAAAGTCTTCGTAATCAAGAACGATTTGTAGTTGGGAGCAACTCACTCTGTGCTACAACAGTACAGCTAATTCCACTGCCTCTATTTATTTCAGAAGTTTACTGTCTGAGAGCTGGAAAGATGGGTCAAGAGTGTTCTTGCAGAGCACCCAAGTACAGATCACAGGACCTGCTTCAAGCAGCTCTCAACTTTCTGAAACGCTAGCTCAGGGGAACCTCTGGGGTCACCTCAAATGCACAAATACAAACTATAATAGTAAAAATTTAAGCTCACAATATTTATGCTGATTAGAGTCCCAATGACTAGCACCTGATAAAAGTGCACTTGTGTCGAAATATGGGTTTCAGGCTTTAAGGAAACTACAAAATTTGGGAGAAATTTTAGAAGCATTTCTTTCTGAAATATAAAATTAATAAACTACTTTTACATTAAACATTGTATTAGATTAAAATAACATAATGGTATTAGAAATGAATATTCTATATGACTCTTACACATTGTTTATGTGTGTGTTTATTATTTTTATGGGTATGTGTGTATGCTTCTGTGAGATTATGCGCACCAAGTGTGTGCAGGAGCCCATGGAGGCCAAGAGGGCATTGGATCTCCTGGAACTGGAGTTGACAATGGTTGTGAGCTACTGTATTGGTGCTGGGAATTCAACACAGGTTCTCTGCAAGAGAAGTAAGCACTATTAACTACTGAGCATTCCTCATGACCCTTGAAGACTTTTGGCGGAATCATTTTATGAGACATTGCTCGAGCAGTGGTAGCCAGTTTTATTTAGGACTGCTTGTCAGACACGTGGCTGTGTTTACACATGCAGCTGGGGATTTCTGTGTTCACATTCTACCAGCATGTATCATAGTGTCCAGCCCAGTGAGGAATGAAGGAATTGGAAGCTATTTGTACTATGCATTAGAGATATCTTGGGGCCTTTTATTTCTCTATGAGGATATGAAATCCAGTGTTTTTAGCTGTGTATTCTGTTTCTTGCAGTTGGTGGTGAAGGTAAGGAGCTCAGATATTTCTCTACCTTTGGAGCATCAAGAAATGGGGGATTCTCCATCAAAGCAGCAAATGAGACCTGTTATTTCTGTGACTTCGGCTTTGAAAGAAGTGGGCCTGGTAAGTTTCATAAAATTTAGAATTCCCCAAAGACTACAGATCAATTTAAGCGAAAATGAATTTAATGGATTACATTGGTTTCTAATGCCTCCTTGTTGTTTTCTAGAGTAAAAAGATTGTCTTCTGGATTTTTTTTTTTGGCTTCTTCTGAATATGGAACTTTTCTGCCCATAGATTTTTATCTAGGACTCAGTTATAGATAAATATGCCTTGAACACTCTGCTTTTGAAGATTCCCTATATACAGAGCTAATCAATTTCATATCCAAAGTGTTTGAGAAATAAAGTCATGTTTTTGCTGATGTGCTTACCCAGGCCAGTACTGATGGCCTCTGTAGTGCTGATGTTCATGCTGTTAAACCGTATCACAACTGTTTTCATAGCATATCTGTCTGTTAGGTTTTGAAACTAATTTAGAGACATTTCGTGGTATGTGCAGGATATCATATGCTATATGCACTTAACCATTTTAAATATGAGAATATGAGCACCTGTGGATTTTGGCAAGGGAAGCAGAGAGATCTTAGAACCAGTGTCTCACAGATGCATGTGTATAGAAAGGGCATTGTGTTGAAATGACTCTCTGATAAACTAATAAGATGGCTCTGTGGGGAAAGGAGCTTGCCACGATGTCTGGCAATCAGAGTTTGATCCCTGAGACTGACCCACATGGTAGAAGGAGTGAACAACTCCTACAAGTTTTCTTCTGACTTCCATGTGCATGTAATTGTAGCAGCAGCAGCAAACATACACACACACACTAATTAAATGTAGTAAAAACATTTGAAAGCAATATACTGAAAATAATGTGGCAAACAGTTTTGTACCCTAACCCTCATGATTGGCAAGTTTTTTTTTTTTTTATTGAGAAAAGGAGAAAAAAAAAAACAAGTTTCCACCTCCTCCCAGCCTCCCATTTCCCTCCCCCTCCTTCCCCCTCCTCCCCCTCCTCCCACCCTTCTCCCCCTCCCCCCACTCCTTTCCCCCTCCCTCTCCAGTCCAAAGAGCAGTCAGGGTTTTCTGCCCTGTGGTAAGACCTAGGACCTCCCACCTCCGTCCATATCTAGGAAGGTGAACATCCAAACTGGCTGGGCTCCCACAAAGCCCTCACATTACGTAGGATCAAACCCCCGTGCCATTGTCCTTTGCGTCTCATCAGCCCTCATTGTTCGCCATGTTCAGAGAGTCCAGTTTTATCCCATGCTTTTTCAGTCACAGTCCAGCTGGTCTTGGTGAGCTCTCAATAGATCAGCTCCACTGTCTCAGTGGGTGGGTGCACCCCTCGTGGTCCTGACTTCTTTGCTCATGTTCTCCCTCCTTCTGCTCCTCATTGGGACTTTGGGAGCTCAGTCCAGTGCTCCAGTGTGGGTCTCTGTCTCTATCTCCATCCATCACCAGATGAAGGTTCTATGATAATATGCTAGATATTCGTCAGTATTGCTCAAGGATAGGGTCATTTCAGGTTCCCTATTCTCAACTGCCCAAGGAACTAACTGGGGACCTCAGCTTGGGCACCTGGGAGCCCCTCTAGGGTCAGGTCTCTTGCCAACCCTAAAGTGGTTCCCTTAACTAAGAATTGTGGTTCCGTGCTCCCCTGTCCAACCTTCCTTTATCCCTATCCTCCTGCTTTCCCAAGGCCCGACCTCCTTCCCTTCTAACTTTTCTCTCCCCATCTCCCCTTACCCCCAACCCACCCCACCCCAAGATCCCAATTTTCTCCCCGGCAATTTTGTCTACTTCCCTTAGCCAAGAGGATAACTATATGTTTTACCTTGGGTTCCCCTTCTTACTTAGCTTCTTTAGATTCACCTATTGTAGACTCCGTGACCCTTATTTATGGCTAGAAACCAATTATGAGTGAGTACATCCCATGTTCATCTTTTTGGGTCTGGGATACCTCACTCAGGATAGTGTTTTCTATTTCCATCCATTTGCATGCAAAATTCGAGAAGTCATTGTTTTTTACCGCAGCGTAGTACTCTAGCGTGTATATATTCCATACTTTCTTCATCCATTCTTCCATTGACGGGCATCTAGGTTGTTTCCAGGTTCTGGCTATTACAAATAATACTGCTATGAACATAGTTGAACAAATGCTTTTGTCATATGATAGGGCATCTCTTGGGTATATTCCCAAGAGTGGTATTGCTGGGTCTAGGGGTAGGTTGATCCCGAATTTCCTAAGAAACCGAAACACTGACTTCCATAGTGGTTGCACAAGATTGCATTCCCACCAGCAATGGATGAGGGTACCCCTTCCTCCACAACCTCTCCAGCAAAGGTTATCGTTGGTGTTTTTGACTTTAGCCATTTTCACAGGTGTAAGATAATATCTCAAAGTTGTTTTGATTTGCATTTCCCTGATTGCTAAGGAAGTTGAGCATGACCTTAAGTGTCTTTTGGCCATTTGAACTTCTTCTGTTGAGAATTCTCTGTTCAGATCAGTGCCCCATTTTTTAATTGGGTTAATTAGCATTTTAAAGTCTAGTTTCTTGAGTTCTCTATATATTTTGGAGATCAGACCTTTGTCTGTTGAGGGGTTGGTGAAGATCTTCTCCCAGTCAGTAGGTTGCCTTTGTGTCTTAGTGACAGTGTCCTTTGCTTTGCAGAAGCTTCTCAGTTTTAGTAGGTCCCATTTATTCAATGTTGCTCTTAATGTCTGTGCTTCTGGGGTTATACATAGGAAGCGGTCTCCTGTGCCCATCTGTTGTAGGGTATTTCCCACTTTCTCTTCTATCCTTTTCAGTGTGTTCGGGCTGATATTGAGGTCTTTAATCCATTTGGACTTGAGTTTTGTGCACGGTGAAAGATGTGGGTCTATTTTCATTCTTCTACAGGTTGACATCCAGTTGTGCCAGCACCATTTGTTGAAGATGCTTTCTTTCTTCCATTGTATACTTTTAGCTCCTTTATCAAAAATGAGGTGTTCATAGGTTTGTGGGTTAAAATCCGGGTCTTCTATACGATTCCATTGGTCGACTTCTCTGTTTTTATGCCAGTACCACACTGTTTTCATTACTGTAGCTCTGAAATAGAGTTTGAAGTCAGGGATGGTAATGCCTCCAGAAGATCCTTTATTGTATAGGATTGTTTTGGCTATCCTGGGTTTTTTGTTTTTCCATATAAAGTTGATTATTGTCCTCCCCAGATTTGTGAAGAATTTTGATGGGATCTTGATGGGGATTGCATTGAATCTATAAATTGCCTTAGGTAGAATTTTTAAAGAATCATATCTCTTATAGTACTTAAAGTAAATAACTATAGAAATGAACTCTACACCTATTTGAAATTTTGTAACATGGGAAGTGATGTTCAATGTAATTCATTTTTTTTACCTTCTACTTCTGTCTCTGTATGCTAGCTATATAGATAATAAAACAAACAAAAATATGCGAACAAGCAAAAGTTTAAACTTGTAAGTGTGCACCAGGTTACCTGTCTAAAAAGACCGTTCTGGATGAAAGGAATGGCTCCAAATGTGGAGTGACTCCCTGGTTTAAACTGCTCTGAACACAGTCTGCTGAGCCCTACAACCTAGGAACCTCTGTTTTCCTTTCCCAGTAGCTACTGTCTGTGACTTGTATTTGTTGAGATTCTTTAGATGTTTTTCATACTGCAGAGATTATTGGTTACCTCAGAGATTTTCTGCAGCCTTTGTGCTTATCTTGAAAATAAGGCAGAGTATAAAGCTCTATGTCCCTGTTCAGAGCTTCGTGTAAGAATCTGTTCTCCCAGTAGGTTTTATCTCTTTCTGATAATGACTTGCATGTGCCGCATTGTTTACAACTTTAGATTCCTTGTGTGGTTTCCTTCCTGGTACCCAGTCTCACATCTCCAGTACCTGTCATCTCTGACTGCGTTCCTGGGTAAAATCCTCCTTGTCTCATTTACATGTGTTACTGTAATTCTGATCACTATGCTTTTGTGTTTTTCAAGTCTTAGAAATCTGTGGTAATCATGTGACTAAATCGTTTTTCTTATTGTTGTGTTTATAGAAACTGCTCATTTAAAACTTTGAAGATTATTTAGTCACACTGTTATAGCCTTCATAATAACTAATCTTTTTCTTTTAATGTATTCTTAAATATTAAGTTTTTAAGAATATCTTTATACTAATCAGACGAAAAGTAAGAATCTGTTTTTACTTAACTTCTTTCCATAGATAAGAAAGCTACTTGTTAATTGTGTTTAATGCTCTGTCTTAATGTGTATGTGTATGTAACAAATTTGTTTTCAAAATAACACAGCTTATCCTGAATTCCTTTATCTACCAACACATTCCCTGGGACTAAGACTTTAGCTCAGGTGGTAGAACACTTGCATGAGGCATTCAGTCCCCAGGATCATTTAGTTTTAGGACGTAATTATTTTATGCATTTGGGTGTTTTGCCTGCAGGTATCTCTGTGCACAGTGTGTATGCCTGGTGCCCCAAGAGGCCAGAAGAGGGTGTTAAGTTCTTTAGAATTGGAGTAACGGTTGTGAGCCACCTTGTGGGTTCTGGGAATCATACCCAGGTCCTCTGCAGGAGTAGCAAATACTCTTAACCACTGAGCCATATCTCTAGCCTGAAGAACCATATTTTTTTAAAAGCAAAACATGACAACCCTTTTCCTAACTCTAATAAACAAAGTATATGAATTTCTTTTCATGCCTCTCATTGACTTTAAATTATCAAAAGTTAGATATCAAAGAAGACAGATAATTGTTAGCAGTAACCCACAAACATGACAAATAACTGAGAATTGACACACACACACACACACACACATTTAACCTATTAACTGATTGATAATGTTTAAATGTTCATCATTATTTATAATGACAGAAGCCATGTTAACATTTCACAGCAATGAGAAAAGTTCACAGGGGTTAAATTTCAGTTAAATGAAAAACTGAAAGTAACAAAAATACCAACTGTTTCAGAGTCCTCTTACTCTTCAACCGTCTTGTGTTTAAAGGATGGAAATTTAACTGAAACCCAAGAAACTTCAGAAGAAATGCAAAAGAGCAGCAATGCTGTTTCAGTAAGTACAGTTTTCAGAGACTCTGTCAGGCTCTTATTTAATAATATGCTCACTAAAGTGTAACTATTTCAGAGCAAGCGAGAAATACTGCGTAGGCTAAATGAGAATCTTAAAGCTCAGGAAGATGAAAAGGAGAATCACCATCACTCAGATTCTTGTGAGGTCGCTGGTCACAAGGATGCCAAGGAGTATGAGAAAGAAAATGCCATTTCCTCTGATCGCAAGAAGTGGGAGGTCGGAGGTCAGCTTGTGATTCCTCTGGATGAAGTGACACTGCATACATCCTTCTCTGCCTCTGAAAGTATGTATGAACATGTCCATGTCCTGTCTTGGGTTAGCACTCACGTAAACTTGTGTCCTGGCCATCCTAAGGAACCAGCATGTGGATGGGTTAAGAGAGGTAGAAGAAGTCTGTGCAACTCCCTCATGGGCATATGAAGTATCTTTCAGTACGATATAAAGACATGAAAAATGGTTTGGTTTTTACAGTAGCAAAAATTCTTCTGTAAGAGTGTAGTGAGAGGAGAACTAAAGAAATGTATTTAAATTGTACTGTTTGAACCCTTTACACCATGTCAACCTGTTACATTCTTTGTTCTTGTTGTAGTGAAAGGGGTTCCTGGTGGGTGACACAGTGTCTCAGTATGTATCCAGCACTGTCCTTGAACTCATGGTCTTCTTTTCTCTGTCTTCTCAGTGCTTAAGTTACAGATATGTGTTTCCCAGCTTCCCCACTTTTGGTTTTATGAGATAATCACTCATTGTATAAATACCAAGCTGGTCTTGAATTCATAATCCTCTTGCCTCTGCCCTCTGAAAGCTGAGTACATGCCCAACTCTATCAGTAGTTTCTAATGAAAACAAGAGCAGTGAAAGCTCAGAAGAGCCCCTTAGACATTAGGAGGAGTTCAGGAGGTTTAACTAGAAAGAATTCCTAAGCACCCACTGTGTTCTCACAGGAATCACGGCCTTCATTGTCTCCTTACAGTCTTCCCACAGGAATCATGGTCTTCGTTGTCTCCTTACTGTCTTCTCACCGGAATCACAGCCTTCATTGTCTCCTTACCCTCTTACCACAGGAATCATGGCCTTCATTGTCTCCTTTTGTCTTCTCACAGGAATCATGGCCTTCATTGTCTCCTTACCATCTTCTTACAGGAATCATGGCCTTCGTTGTCTCCTTACCATCTTCCCACAGGAATCATGGCCTTCATTGTCTCCTTACTGTCTTCTAACAGGAATCATGCCCTTCATTGTCTCCTTACCGTCTTCTCACAGGAATCACGGCCTTCATTATCTCCTTACCCTCTTCACACAGGAATCATAGCCTTCATTGTCTCCTTACCGTCTTCCCACAGGAATCACGGCCTTCATTGTCTCCTTACCGTCTTCCCACAGGAATCACGGCCTTCATTGTCTCCTTACCGTCTTCCCACAGGAATCACGGCCTTCATTGTCTCCTTACCATCTTCTCACAGGAATCATGGCCTTCATTGTCTCCTTACTGTCTTCCCACAGGAATCACGGCCTTCATTGTCTCCTTACCGTCTTCTCACAGGAATCACGGCCTTCATTATCTCCTTACCCTCTTCACACAGGAATCATGGCCTTCATTGTCTCCTTACCATCTTCCCACAGGAATCATGGCCTTCATTGTCTCCTTACTGTCTTCCCACAGGAATCATGGCCTTCATTGTCTCCTTACCGTCTTCCCACAGGAATCACGGCCTTCTTTGTCTCCTTACCGTCTTCTCACAGGAATCATAGCCTTCATTGTCTCCTTATTGTCTTCTCACAGGAATCATGGTCTTCATTGTCTCCTTACCGTCTTCCCACAGGAATCATGGCCTTCATTGTCTCCTTCCCGTCTTCCCACAGGAATCATGGCCTTCATTGTCTCCTTACCGTCTTCCCACAGGAATCATGGCCTTCATTGTCTCCTTACCATCTTCTCACAGGAATCACAGCCTTCATTGTCTCCTTACCATCTTCTCACAGGAATCACGGCCTTCATTGTCTCCTTACCATCTTCCCACAGGAAACATGGCCTTCATTTTGTTCCCCTGTACATGCATGACTTTTTTGGTGTGATTGCTATGACATTTTATTGAAGTAATAAGGGCGGCAGGGCTGCGTCCCCAACACCCCGGCCGAAATAATTACACGGACACTGTATTCCTCTAAACACTGCCTGGCCCATTCTCTTCTAGGCTAATTCTCACATATTAATTTAGCCCACCTCTAATCATCTGTATGTAGCACCCCAAGGTGCGCTTACCGGGGAGATTCCAGCCTAGTCCATCCTGGGTCGGAGCTTCATCCCGGGAGCGGGGCATGGCGTCTCTCTCTGAGGCGTCTGCTCCCGAGAGAGCTGTGGAGTCTCTGAGCTCACTTCCTCTTCCTCCCAGCATTTTGTTCTGTTTACTCCTCCCACCTATCCTCTAACCAATAAAATGGGCCAGGGCAGTGCCTTTATTAGCCAATGACCTTCCTCCATCATTTCCCCTTTTTCGGTTTAAACAAAAAAAAGGCTTTAACATAGCAAAATTACATATAACAAAACAGTTATCAAGTAAAAGTTACAATAATCTTTATCATAACTAAGGAAAACTATAACTATAACTAACTATTCTTAACTCCATCAAAGACTCCAGAAAGATACACTACTACCTAAGCAAACAAGAAAAAAGCAACTTTTAAAACTCTAGAAATGACAGAGACATCTCGCTGCCTGGACAGTCACCCAAAGTTCCTCTATACGGTTGGGGCATCCATCTTCAGCCTTCAGGCCCATGGTATCCAGCAGACATTTCCATAAAGCAGAAAAATTCAAAGTCAGTTCAGTCACTATCTGTTGTGTCCTGCAGAATGTCTCGCAGACTCTTTCATGAATCAGGAACCCCGAAAGATCATCTCACCTTAGGCAAGTTCAGTAGTCCTCTCTCTGCGGGTTCTCTGTGTCCAGTTTATGCAATAGTCCAGGCAAGAGCAGTTTTTTGCCCATATGGCTATCAAACTCCATAACGAGCCTCTTCGATGCCCATCTTCCTCTTGAAGTAGATTGGTGCTGCCAGGAGCAGAGTGTCTCATTGTCATGAAAAGTCCTAAGTTATTAAAACATTAAATGTCCTATTCTGTAATCTTTGAAAGACATGAAGAATGTCTATCTAAAATATATCTATGCACATCTAGAAAATAAATGGCCTAAAATCTCTATCAATAAAGCAAAATCTATACTAATGCAAATTATTCATATCTATATCATATCCCCCTTTAAATGTAAAAGAACATTTATAAACATTTTTTGGGAATATGGGCGCCGTTATTTCTCTCCAAACTGCTTCCTGCTGAATGGGGGCGTCGTTAATTAGGTCTTTCATGGTATAACCTGTGTGCTAGTTTCATCTCAGTTGGCAGTTGAGCGAAGCAATTTTCTGAAGATGCTCACAGCAACCCTTCAGGAGGGCGTGGTTCATCATACCAAATCGGAATAGAAGAAATGAACAGCGTCTCATCCTCTGTGAAAACAAAATAAGAAACTCCTCTCCAAAGCATCATGTCCTTAGATCCAAATTTCAAATTCAAGGCATTTTCAAAATATCTATGTTGGATTAGTTCAGCAGCATTTATAAATAAATATCTTTTAGCATCTGTTGCTCCTTCCTCAGCATTCAAACGATTCAAAGAGAGCATAATAGCATACAGTATCAAGATTCTCTGTGTATTTTCCATCTTTGTTCGTTTTATTTTAACCTCTATTTTGTTTATTTTTACTTTTAACTTTTTGCTTTTTGAGATAAGTTCTCTGTATCTTTGACCTGAAGTAACTCTGTAGACCAGGCTGTCTTTGAACTCTCAGAGATCCGCCTGTCTCTGCCTCCCAGGCATTCGGGATTAAAGGTGTACACTACTACACCTTGAACTCACAGAGATCTGTTTGTCTCTGCCTTCTAGGCACTGGGATTAAAGGCGTGTGCTACCACACACAACAACTCTCTTCCTTTTTTTTGTTTTTTTTTTTTTACTTTAAGAACTTTAACTTTTAGTCTGCATATATTTTTAACACACTTTAAACCATTCAGAAATTTTTTCTGTCTTTGAATCTCTCTTTACTGTATATCTCTCTTTTTCTGACCACATGAATCTTTAATTTACCAAGCGATCTCAGTAGGATTAAAGGCGTGGCTTTGCCAGCTAGATCCAGTCCATTCCTTAGCTTTCCAGCCTCATGGCGGATATACAGGCTGTAGCCATGTTTACTGCAACAACTGTATGGCATTTCAAGGTCCCTGCCAGCAAGTGAGCTACAACAGACAACACTCAAGTCCTCTCTCAGTAGCCGGCCCTCCTGCCTCAAACAGTCAGAGTTTGCCCTGGCAGGACAGCCCAGAAAGCTGGCATTTTTAAACGGCACAGCTTTTTTCCTGCTACAGCTGAAAACCGAAAAGCATGCGTTCAGCTTTAACCGTTTAAATGTTTTGTGGCAGGACCTCTTAATGAGCTGCAGGCTTTTGCAGCTAAAGCTGAGTCAGGAAGCCTCTCTTAGATGAGGCGCTTGCTTGCCTCTAGTAAGCAGAGTAGAACTGAGAAAATGCTGCTACCAAGAAACCAGGCACAATGCTTTCATTTTGTTCTAGAATTACTTCCCAAGCTGTCTCAGGCTTTATGTGGAAGCAGTTGTCCACGTGGGCGCCATATGTAGTAATAGGGGGCGGCAGGGCTGCGTCCCCCACACCCGGCCGCCCACATGGCTATCTTATGCTCCGAAATAACAACACACAAACTGTATTCTTTTAATCACTGCTTGGCCCTTTAGCCCTAGCCCTTACTGGCTAATTCTCACATCCCGATCAACCCATCTCTAATAATCTGTGAGAACCGGTCTTACCGGGAAGATTCTAGCCTAGTCCATCCTGGGCCAGAGCTTCATGCCCGGAGCGGGGCATGGCGTCTCTCTCAGGCATCTGCTCCTGAGAGCAGAGCTGTCAAGTCTCTCTCTGGTGTCTGCTCCTGAGAGGAGAGCTGTGGCGGCTGACCTCACTTCCTCTTCCTCCCAGCGTTCTGTTCTGTTTACTCCTCCCACCTATCCTCTAACCAATAAAATGGGCCAGGGCAGTGCCTTTATTAGCCAATGACCCTCCTCCATCATTTTATCTCTTTATTTTTCAGAAATTTGGTATGATTTTATGTGTATGGGTGTTTTGCCCACATGTGTGTCTGTGCACCATGTGCATGCTTTGTGCCACAGAAACCCGAAGATGTCAAATCCCCTAGAAAGGGGTACCATTGTGAACTGCCATG